TCTTTCATTAGGGAAACAAAAGGGAGGATCCTCACGTTTCAATAAATTGTCATGGGTAAATCTGGAATGGCCATTACAACATAGTCGCATAAAGACTTTTGTTAAATCTGGACGAACAGATCGACAATCAAGTTCATTATGCACTTCAACAATTTCAGTTTACCTGTTGAATATCTTTCAAAGTGGGATAATGCACAAACACAAAGATATGAGACGGTTTCCGTCTCAGCCATTTATCGCCCAATGTCCGGCTGCCCGACGTGAAACGTTTCTTGTTGTTCCCACTGACAAAGCCTCAGAAAGCATCACTCATTAATCGTTTGATCAAGGACCTTGGTAAAAGTGACATATAAAACATGTCACATGTGAGGCAAGTATGTCAGCTCTCTCAACTCATGGTAGGACTCCTGCATACATGTCCATTCTTCTTGTCTACTGGATTCAACAGCTAAAACATAATGCTGGTAAAAATCACTGTCTCAAAGATTCACGATAAGCCTTACCCATAACATTCCTTTATCCATGGGGCATTTGTGTATAGAGCTATATATATACCAGGCGTCTTTATATACTAGGGTCAAACAATATATAGCACATGTAAAGAAAGATTTCTCAGAAATAATACAACTAAGATGCCATCATAACGTTTAATCTGTTGACAAACGTGACATATCGTGACATACAGACAAAAAGTTCAAACAACACTAGAAAACATCAGTTGTATAGACCAACCCCCAAAATGAAAACGACAAACATGAAGCACTCGGTAATTCAATATCTTGTGTATCTTCCTCGCGCGTCCAAGACACATGCATCTTGATCTCCTGCTCCTTATCCATCGCATTCCATTCCTTTACTTGAGCTCTACGGAACCCTGGGAGATCCACTGGTGCTGGGTGACATGTGTACACACGTCGACCGAGCTCATCCCAGACATGCTCAATTGGGTTGAGGTCTGGCGAGCCTGCTGGCCACTCCATCCGCTCTACAGGATGAAGAATTCCGTGACAATCCTGGCCCTGTGAGGCCTTGCGTTGTCGTCTTGCAGAGTGTCGACCACAAACCTCACGCATAGCTTGCAGGAATGGTACTGCTATTGGAGCCAGAGTCCCAATAACCCTGTCCGGTAAGATTACGTCGACCACTTGCAGTTGAGTACGCCCACTGCCTACCGGTTATGCGAGGCCACAGTTGCATCTGTCATTCGCTCTCCAATGCGATGATAAATCCTCTGCCGACCACCATGGAAGGACAAACATTCAGTTATGTATATTTAAAACCAAAACGAAGATTTCACAACTTTTAAGAATAGTGTTACCAATAGCTTGAACCTTCATTAATGATGCGGAGTTCACATCATTATGCACACTTAAGCCCATTTTAACCCATTAGAGCCCACGTTACCACATAAATCCCTTTTCACCACATTAATCCCACTTCATCTCAGAACAATATTGTTCCTATCAAAAATATATATTCTTCAGCCCCAAACATGTACCATCAATGGTAAATCCAGTGTACATGCCCCTTCCTACTTCCAACCATGTTCCGCCCACAAATCTTCCCCCAACTCCGTCTCCATCATGAATGTACGTGTGACAACCAAAGAATGAAAGTGTCTCTGAAACAAATGCATATTTCTGACTATTTCCTAACAGACTAGACACGTGAAGACCCGGGATAGAATTGGTCTTCAGTAACACAATCATGCTTGTCGTAAGAGGCTACTAACGGAATTGGGTGGTCAGGCTCGCTGACTTGGTTGACACATGTTATTGTATCCCAATTGCTAACCGAAACGTGAGTCTCATTAACTAATTCAGACAATGACCTACTTTTCAGCCGATCCGAATCTTCTCGTGTGAAAGTGAAAAGAGACACTACAAACAAGCATGGTTACACTAAATTCCAATTCCTTGTTTCATAACAAATGGGTATTTATAAATTAATTTTAATTTTACAGTTTAAAAAGATCGTATTTCTGTAGCTTATGTCGAGGTCGTTAACTAAGAGGTCACAGACTGCCCCTGTTTGAAGAGGTACAATGATTCACAATTCATCTGGCTCACTGGTTACACATCTTATGTGTTCTTTGCGCTTATTAAGTGTATGTTTGTAACGTACAATGTGATGGATATAATATCAAGTCCGTACCAAACCACTAAAATGTTATAGCTGCCGAGCCTCGTTTTGAGATTTCCACGATGTCCATTTGTCAGAGCACGCTGTACGACAGAGCACGCTGCACGGCGTGTTTGCAAGTATTAGAAGGAGCGTAGTGTTGCAATATACAGGTGATTAGATATATCCAATAATACTGATTAATATTTATATTACCAGATGAATTGGTTGGTCTCAAAATTCTGTCCTTATTATTGTACTAAGTTGCGCAGTAGGACGAAACCCAGTCAGCAGGAAACGAGACTGTTGTGCAATCACTGTTTTGACTAGAATGATGCGCATGATGTTGATCACTAGATTGTCTGAACCAGATTCGATTATTTACAGACCGGCTCCATACAGCTGGAATATTGCTGAGGTCAGCAGCGTTAACCAACACACCAACCAACTAGCGCTGCGCAAGATAACCGGTTTACCGGTATTTACCGGTTCAGACATGAAAACGATACGTATTGCGATAAGCTGATCGAAAATCGGTATTTTGACTTGCATTCGGAAAACTTCGTAACACTCGGAAATATTTTATCATGATTATAAGTTGTTATTAAAGCTTAATCAAGCCTAGTGATTTTGTTGTGTTTTTGCTCTATAAATCAAGAAGTAACTCGATTATAAGTAGTTTTTTGTTTAAAAATACTTCATGCAATATATTGCAATACATATCGCAATACATGCTTTCGTATCGCAATATATCGCAATATGAAAATTCTCTGCAATACTCACCCTTACAACCAACCAACCTAACAGAACGACTTAAACAACTTAAATCATTGGCATTAAGTGGATTTCCATATTGACAATTTGAATACAAAATGTGCCCATTGTAACAGAATGTATCGGACCTTAAAGAACGTAATAATTACATTTTAACGGCCTGATATGTTAAGAACGTTTGTAAAACATTGAGTTGTATATATATCAAACCAAAACGAAGATGTTAAACTTTGCAGAAATAGTGTTACCAATAGCCTGACCCTTGATTAATGACGCCGAGTATATGTATCTTCAGGAGTTCAGGACAATTTCCCAAAAGTGAAAGCAAATGTTATCTGATGTTTACGGAGAAAACAATGCGGGAAATGCTGGGCTGGGATTGAAATTTGAGGGTAAAACACGTACAAGAAATAAGCATCCCCATGGGCAAACCTTAAGCTTCCCTGCCCTAAAAGTGTCAATATCCTTTTCATTACTATGAGAAACTTCAACTATAAAATTAACTCCAAGTTTCACATCAAAGATTGCATATCACAAATTCTGTATTCGTAACTATTACTTTTGATCACACCACAATCCATAAACAGAAAAAACAACAATTAAAGATTCTTTATTCAGAATATAGGGCCACATGGCCAAAACTGCTACATATTTGTATCAAAAGTAATAATCGAAATTAAAAAGCATTACAAAAACAGTTAAGTACACAAAACGAAGAAAACGATGCATCTCTGGTTAAATATACTCATTATAAAAAAACGTTTTCACTTTTGCATATAAAATGCTTGGAATTGATACAGTAACTATAATAGTATATTGTTTTTTTGCATGTATACCTATAAGCAAGCATTTTAAAAATAATCAAAACAGAATAACCGATAATGTTAAATAAGGGCTTACAAAAGACCGGTTTCTAAATCTGGAAACTGTATGCCGACAATGAAGATTAACTGCCATTCTTATGAGAATTTTCCTTACAACTTAGTTAAGATTCGAACTTTAGTGACCATACAGTTTGACAGAAAACTGTGAGTTTGATTTCATTGCTGTGTGTATATGGCCATTCAAAACATCGCCATTGGAGAGTGAGTGAGTATGGTTTACGCCGCTTTAAGCAATATTCCAGCTATATCAAGGCGGTGGCCCAAGAAATTGGCTTCACACATTGTACCCATGTAGGGAATCGAACCCGGGACCTCGGCGTGACGAGCGAACGATTTATCGACTAGGCTACCCCACCGGTGTAGAGGAATCAGTCTGCGGAAGAAGCATATTCCATAGGGAGCAAAACACAAAGTAATTGAAATAGCAATGGTTCACAGAAAATCTCTGTATGAAGTCATCAGCATTTCCATCACCTTCAATTATCCATGAATCAAACAAGAATTCGTGTTGTAAAGAAGATCAACATGGTATTAAAACGTCGGTCTATATTTCGCAAATCATCGTAGAACTTGTCATCAGAGGTTTGGATATGCATTCGAATTATCGTAGTCATATGTTATTCTGCGTCAGTTCTATCTTGCATATGTTAATAATGTTAATAAATTATAGAGATGACAGACATTTGATAATAAAGAATAGTGCATATTTTTAAAGCGCACATATCCACGCTCGCAAGCACGCGCTAAGATATTATTACACCGGATACCCCAAGCTACCTTAGGCGCTAGAATGTTAAACATAACCTCACTTCCCTAAGGTGAGAGCATATGTATCACATGCGCTTCGTTGTTGGTCAGGACTGAAATCTTAGAAACTCTCAGGAGTCAAGCTGCCAAAAACGCTGTTAAACACATGCTGTCAACCATCCAAGTACTCTCGGCGCCCAGCGTTGCTTAATTTCAACTGTTTTGTGACCTGAGCTCTATGCACAGGACCACACATCACTTGATACATGGGCGTCAAAGAATGTCCATATATATCTCAATACAAACATACCAGTGATCATATATTTAACAGGTTGGATTTGTATATCAAATGCTCAGGATACCAAGGACTATTAAGAATGGATTGGTTAGGATTTTGAGGCTGTCCGTTTGCAGGCTGATTTCATGAAGCTGGAACATTAAACTACAACTCACAACTGGATTAATGCATGTCATCTATAGTCTCGATACAAAGGTGAGTTCATAATCCTGTGGTACGTTTAAGAAAGATCCTCCACGTGGCTCTGTGTTCACCTTAGCTCCAGGTGGGAGGGACACTTTGAAATGCCTCATGATTCCAGCCAGCAGAAGATGCAGTTCCGGCTTCGCCACGCTCTCTCCGAGACAAACTCTTCTTCCCGCGGAGAACGGAAGCCAGCTCTCTGGTTTGGTAGCCATCTTGCCATTCTGGTCAAGGAACCGATCTGGATTGAATATATGCGGGTCACTCCATTGCTCTGGATCATGATGCAGCTCGTAGTGGTTGATGACCAAGGTTGTTCCTTTTGGAATGTCATAACCACCTGAAAAATTAATATTTGAAAAAAAAGTTTTTAGGCATTGATGGCCAAGAACAAGTAGTGTAATCTTCCTCAAAGTCGCAGTTACCAAATTAATGATACAAAAACGAAGGAGTGAACTCAATTAAAAAATTACTCTCATCCACCACTATCCCAACACACCCATACCCGTGAACATCCAGGATAGAATTTGTCTTCAGCAACCCATGCTTGTCGCAAGAGGCGACGAACGACATCGGGTGGTCAGGCTCGCCAACAAGGTTGACACTTGTCACCATGTCCCAATTGCGTAGATCGATGCTTTTGCTGTTGATCACTAGAACTTCTGGTCCAGATTCGTTTAATTACAGATCGCCGGCATATAGCTGGAATATTGCTGAGAGCGACCTTAAACAACCACCCAACAAAATCACCCATCATCCCTGCACAACCTAAGAATATTAAATGACGTAAGTCCGTTTTTTGCCATAGTAATGTGATGAAACCGTCATCAACAGATTACAACAATACAGTAAAAGGGAAAAATGACGTGTAAACCCCTGGCATGTTTTGTCTCTGAAATATGAATTTGACGTGTTAGTAAATAAGTCCATCCAACGCAAAAATGAATAGCCATCAAAGTTTTGTTCCGTGGACAATATTGAAAATATCCATAAATCTCCAACATCGTGGACATCGTTGAAAAGAGACCTACCGACTTTCGTATCGCACAGTGCTTTGTGGGGAAGTCCGCTTGGTACCACAGTGTGGAGCCTCATACTCTCGTGCAGCACAGCGTCAGTGTAAGGGAGACTACTCCTGTCTGATACACTGGGGAATTGACGTTCACCTGCACATTTGTAAGCCTGTATTAGGTACGCGAAAATCTGAAGATCATATCAGGTCAGGTGGAATTATTCTTGATAAGTCTGTGTTGTGATTTTGCTGGTGCCTTCAACAGCAACAAAGTATCATTATACAACAGCATCATCATCTTTGTATCATCATATCCATTAACGGAACTCATCCTATCATGATACCATCATAAAATAACATATTTTACTATATCACAAATATGGATAATATCATACCATCATATCATCTTAATACTTTATCATCGCATCACGGTTGCTTCATCCGGTTTTACTTTAGATGGTGTTGTTCATAGTAAATCCTTAGCCTCTTGTCAAGACACTTATTGACCAGTGGTAAGCATAAAAGGTATTCGTAACATCCCATCCCACGAGTTCTCAGGTATTGATGGATAAATGGGTCACTGACCATGAACCAAACTATCTAGAAACCGTATCAGTCACCACGATTAAGTTAGGAGTTTCGACGTTCAACAGAGCAACAGAGTATGGGTGCCATTATTTACTCTCTCGGCCGTTACCGTAACTTCGCCGATTCAATAAACATTGCTGCTGTCGCCGTAAACTTAACGCCTTAATCGGAAAACCTATCACTGCATCATACCATATTGTCATATCTCTATGTCATAAGATCAGTGTATAAAATTATCACTGTATCATCATCATCCCATAATTATCATCATATCTCTATGTAATGGGATCAAACGTACCCAGTGCGTCGTCGATCTCAGAGTGAAGCTTGTTTTGAATGTCTGGATGTTCTGCCAGGGCAAGTAGGGTCCACAGCAGGGTGAAGCGAGAGGTGTCCATCCCAGCTGCACATGCACAGTGATCAGTGTAATTTGGACATGCAGAACGATCACTTCCCACGTATTATTAAAGGACATGAATGTTTCAGTACAAAATAGAAGAGACACAAACGATATCCTATCGCAAACACAAAATCAAAATTGAATGTTAAATGGCTGTATGAACAATTTAGATCATAGAATCTACGCATTAACCATTCCACCTGGGGCCTGTGTGGCAAAACATGTTTCCTATTTGATACAAAACAGTTGTCCAAAAAATGTAACTAAACGTTAACACTTACAGGAAGAGAGACATTGGATCGACGAAAACGTACACAAAAGGTAAGTTCAAATATGTACCGGCAAATATATCAGACAGAGTTTGAGTGATATGGGCGTCAGTCATTTGTGACATCACATCCGGGTCCTCCTCCTGATAGGCTTCTTCTTGAGCCAACAACATGGCATCACAGAAATCACGGATGTTATCTGTTTGGACAATGTAAGGAACAAAACGATTGATAGAGAGAAGCACATTAATGCTTCTCTTATTGCCATGAGAAGATCTATGTTATTATGCTTAACAAAGATCGTAATATATGGAATAAGAGAGAATCTTTCCTGTTTCTCAAATAGCTCCTTCAAGTGCAGAAACCAGATCATAATCTGCAATCTGTGTACAAATTCCACCTGTCAGTATGAGTGAACAAAACTTAATAAGATGTGATATTTTTCTGTCAAAGCCCTACTTCTGTGGAATACAATATCTGTCATACTCAGTTTCTGAAACTCTTGAAACTTTTCGTAGGCATTTATGGATGAATACCACATTCTGAACCTATAGAAATGAATATTTCTTGCTACTATTTTACAGATTGAAATTAGTGTTGGGTATTGCCAAAATTTTCGCATTGTGATATATTGTGATATGTGTTGGCGTATTGCAATATGTATTGCAATATACTGCGAAAGTCTAACAGATGGTATAAGCTAATGAAATTATTGCTTCCTCTCTTTTGAAACAATGCCACTGACCACTGTCATGACACAGATGTGATTATACAAGAGATCAATATGTTTCCAAATTGAAGACATCGCTCTAAAGTTCTGAACTGGAGAAAAAGCGTATGCAGCTGCGTCCGCCATTTAGGTTTGTTTATCAATTATACCAATCTATTTTTTTATTTTTATGGTTTTAAAAGTCTTGCAAATGCAATTATATGACCAATGAACATTCTCAAAACTATTAATGTATAATAATATAAAGGAAACACAAATGTTATTAGTACTTTTTACTACATCACGAAAATTACAGATCATGGTCACGGAAATTGCCGATCGTATCGGGTAAACGGTTCGCGAAAAGTGTACCGCTATATACCGTATTGTGAAGTTCAAATTGCAATATACCGGTTAACCGATATTATCGCCCACCCCTACTTTAAATAAATGAATACAGCAAAAAGGGTGCTGATCAGGCTGATGGATCTCATCAGCAGTCCAGGTACCCTTGCCCCATTTACACACAGTTCAGGCAGCAAATATGGCTTCTCCGCAAAAACCTTGCTTTGCCAACCACGATGAAGAACTTTCTGGAGAGAATGGACACACACACACACACACACACACGCGCGCACGCACGCATGCACGCACACGCACGCGCACACACACACCCACACACACACACAACAAACAAACAAACAGAAACACACAAACAACAACACTGCATCACTCGCCAGTGTGTCAAAATAGCTGAGCTCCGGTAGAGGTCCCGTGTTCTCCTGAAATGTTTCATGAGATCAGACTATGGACACCAGGAACAAAACGGGGTCTGACAACAGTATACTTGAGATCCAAGCAAGACACTTCAGAGGCAAGGTGTGTACATTTGCCATGTCTTTTTCTCATTCTCGTCAATCACACTTCTGTCAAATTGGACTCAATCATAAAACTTATTTCAGTCGCTTTATCAAGACAAGATCAGATTCCTTGGCTCGGATACATCTAAGTCTGTATTTGGGGTTATCATTTCCCAAGATGCCCTGCACGTATTGTAGGTTGTGACATGCGTGGACCGTGCGTCAAAACCACAAGCATGGCGGAGACGATAATTAAAGGACCAAGCAACGCCATTATGACACTGTGCCAGAGCCGGGCATTACAAAAGCGTAGTTTGACAGTCTTACATTTTGACGAGAAATCGCATATTGACGTTTATCAGAGGGAAGAGACCGGTCTTGAGCGGCAAACAGAAAGCCTTCTGTTTCACTTATCAGGCCAGCCGACATCACGAAAGCCGACTCCGTGGGTTGCTTCTCGGTCCAGCGGTCGTTCAGATAATAAAACGCTTGGCTTGCTTGACATTTATCTCTGTACCGTCAGAACCATCAACAAAATACTCGCCGACGTTGAGATGATGTCCAATTTCCTCAGCTCTTTCACGAAAGCTAATATTTTCAACATCCTTAGCTCTTTTGAATCAGCTCGATATATTGTTATCATGATATAAATCTAAAATGAAGATCATAGTGTAACAATGAAGGTAAAAAGCGATTAACCTTTAGCGAAGTGGAAAAAAAAAAACCATATGTACCTTTACGTATGGTCCGTCGATGTTTGTCAATTTCTCCATTCAGTGAAGCTAAGAATATACCCATTTCTTTCAGGATAGTTCTAAGCTTCTTGGTGTGATAGAGACGGAGAGGTGGAATTACGTCCTCAAGAAAGCCGTTGCCGGTGTCTTCCACAAAGATATTCAGAAGATGCAGCATCTTTCTGAAGTAGTTGTCACTGACCTCGCATCTGTTATGGTTTAGATCACAGTGATAGTGTCATTGGTATCAATGATTATAGGAGGATAAGCTTCGCTATCCCACCTTTGTTATTGTTATCTCATTATCATATGTACATGTATCTTGTATATAAACTGGTGTACCCCATCATTCCCCCCACATGCTTGAAAACGGTATAAGAAGCTATACCGAAACGTCGCTATTGTGAAAATATAGAAGTTAATTATCCATAAAGTTTTCTCATCTCTATACGACCAACTTCTAGAATGCCACTCAAACAAATCAAATAAACCCATACTAGGGAGTACCGGTATAAAGTTGCAGGATAAGCCCATATTAGGAAGTACCAGTACAATGTTTCAGGATAAGTCCATACTAGGGAGTACCGATAACATGTTGGATAAGAAGCCAGTGTTAGGAAGTGCATGTAGAACGAGGCAGGATAAGCCTATATTAGGAAGTACGTGTAGAACGTGGGATGATAAGCCCATATTAGGTTGTACTGGTACTGGTAAGCCCATATCAGGAAGTGCATGAGGAAGGTGGCAAGATAGGCCCATATTGGTATGTCCATTTAATGTTTGAGTTTTCTTAAGGTTACCTTTGGCCACAGGTGCCATAGATCCCGATATTGAACGCTGGACAAAGTTTACTCACGTGAAATTGAAGCAGATATTGTTGATGATGTTGAACACAATGAGGGAGACAGCGTGATGAGGATTGAAGGGCCCCTTAATCTCCTTTATCATCGCGATGCCTTTGGTCAGTGAGCGCTCTATCCCCTCGTCGAGGTGGTTACCAGTCATGTAGTGTCTGAATAAGCCGGAGAGGAACCGAAAGCGATGACACGGACAATATGTTATTGCTGGAGACATCACAGAGCGAGGCAGTCGAGACATTAGTTCACAAGGAATAACTACATTTACAACTTGTCATACTGTATTGCAACACATTGGATCAATCCTTAGAAAACCATTTTTTTCAATTTTCCATACATGGATGAAATTCGTGCGAAGTGTAGTTTGGGAACATCCCTCAAGATTCGCTGCGAGTGGTTTAGCAAGGCTGAAAATTGATTTTTTTATTACTTGGATGGTTTTTGTTTGTTTCACTGAAGGGTAGTGCCATTTTGGTTTGTCTAAAACTTGTACACGTAAAATTGCGAGTCGTTTTAACCCCCTGTTTTGTCACATTGTGGCTACATCATGTTTCTTAATGAAACTTAAACATGTTTAAATTATTGTAAGAAATATACATGTTTAGTAGGATGTACCTTCTAGCGCCGTATTTACGATGTCCATATTGTGTATGAATACAGTAATGGGAATTAGCTGGTAAGCCCCTTTAGCTACCCAGCAGCCCCGTACCCATGAAGGTCTGGGTTAGAATATTGATCTTCAGTAACCCATGCTTGTCGAAAGAGGCGGCTAACGGGACCGCCGCCATATTGCTGGAATATTGCTGAGTGCAGCGTAAGACTAAACTCACTCGCTCCAACAGCCCCGTACCGTTATCACCAACTGCAATGTCGTATCTTACTCAAACCGTAAGCTGACACTGTTCGTGAGTCAGAGATTGGCTTCCTTCTATACCTGTATACTGTTATCTTATATGACAATATATTATATATAAAGCAGCTCACTTCAGTGCCTTTGTTGCCAACTTCCTGTGTAGTTTCCAAGTACGGCTGTAGTCACCGAAGACGATATTCTTCCCTCCATCATTAAAGAGGTTCGCTTGGAAAAAACACAATATACAATGAAGCGTGCATAAAATAATGCATTTGCTATTTTGTCCCGACGCGGTATTTTTGAAAGGCTCTCATACGAACAACCAGAAATTATTGAGAATTTAAGATTGTAATTATTTTTATTTTTTTCACTGATAACTCATGTATTAAATGTGAATATTAGCAGAACATAACTCCAGATTCAAAGACAGGTGAACAGTTAGTATTTTGTCAAGACAACATGGGCAGCAATGCAGGCTTCAATGCGGCGGGGTATACTACTGATCAAAAAAGTTAGAAAGTCGTGGTCCATGCTGTCCAAATATCAGACCATCTCTACTTTCATTTCAGCAATATTTGTCAGGTTTTTCTTATTGACACTTTCCTTCATAAGTCCCCAAACATTTTCTATTGGATTTAGGTCAGGGCTATAGCTTGGCCAATCTAATAATGTCATATTTTGGGTCCGAAACCAGGCCTGTGAATGCTTTGAACGATGTTTTGGGTCGTTGTCCTGCTGGAAAATCCAAAAATTTCCATAGAACACGTGAGCAGATGGAAGTAAATGTCACTCGAGAATATCTGTGTACCGCTCACTGTTCATATTCCCTTCAAATACACTGAGGGGCGTTGCCCCTAACACAGATATGCCACCCCACACGTTATATTTCGGACTGTACTTTGGGCGCTGATACAAAGGCTTTTCAGTTTGGTTGGCCCAGAATCTCAGTGTATTAGGAAACAGCCACACAGGACTTTCATCTGAGAAAATCACATTGTCCCAGTTAAAATTTCTATGCTGTAAGTACCAGTTCAACCTTCGCTCCTTTTGTTCAGGTTTCATGATCGGTGATGGAATTCCTCGACTTTTCTGCCAACCCATTGCATGCAGCTCAGTTCTAATTGTCTGCTTACAGACAGCCACAGTTCCTCTATCAATCATATCCAGCCTTAAGTTTTCTAAACTCCTTCGTTTGTTTTTAGAAACAAGAATACCAAGCCACCTCCTGTCACCGACCGTCAATTTTATGGGCCTACCTGCGCCTCCCTGGTGCTCAGTGCCATATCCATTTGCAATATTTTTCCAAACACGATAAACAGTGGACAAAGGGATGTCTGTTCTACTTGAACTCACTTAGCTGATGTGATGTCCTTGTTATAAAACCATAAAATCAACTTCTTCTTCTCTAACTCATCCATACTGAGGATCCCTGAAAATGTCGTCTGCTAGCAAGTAAACAAAGGGGGATACCTCTTCACACACTAATGAAATAGGATTAACGGAGTTGTCTCTCTTGAATGAAACCAAGCACTTGATAGCTGGTCAAGGTTGTTTATACTAGAAATCCAATTAAACATATTCCTAAAATTTGCAATAATTTCTGGTCATACTATATATGTACGTCTACTACTATTTACGTTGGAGATATACTGACATTTAGTAAAAGAGAATATCGTTAAACAGAATACTTTGGGACCTCGTCACCCGTAACTATGGCTGCACTTTAGGCATCAATGTCTTATTTTAAATGAAGAAATGAAAAATTATGAGCATACAAAGGAGAAAAAGCAACCACGTGTCTTTTTGTATGAAGCCCATGAAGAACCCGGTTAGAACTGTCTTCAGCAACTGATGTGTGTCGTAAGAGGCGACTAACGGGATCGGGTGGTTAGGCTCGCTGACTTGGTTGACGCAAAGTTGGTTGTCATCGTATCCCAATAGCGTAGATGGATGCTCCTGCTGTTGATCACTGGAGTGTCTGGTCCAGACTCCATTATTTACAGACCGCCGCTATATAGCTGGAATTCTGCTGAATATTGTGTAAACCTAAACTCACTCACTCACTTTTTGTATGGTATATATGTTTTTGTCCAGCTAGGAGCAGTAGATGTAGAGACTGTACGTCATCAAGCCAAAATCTTGATCACTACAAGATGTGTAGCTTAATAAAACAGGTTGTAAAACGATTATTTGACAGCCCAAAATAAACAAAACCCAAGTCTAATGATATCAGTTTGGATGAAATATTGATGCAATCAATCTTCTCATATTTACCGGTATATGACTCGGGCCGCCCTGCAAAATCAGCCTGTCTTTTAACCAGCGCCTCCATCACGACGTCAATATTGTTCAGTCCGATCATTGTCATATGTCCTGTAACGTGAACATTCTATTTTCATAACGTTCATCAGATATTTAACTGATCCATCAAATGACGCCCATCATTTGATAGATGAATGTGTGTTAACACTCGATACATTAATTCTGTCATATGTATATTCTATACAAGTTGATCAAGGAAGCATTTCAGAAATTTTCCCCAAACGACTATTGCGAGCCAAGGAGATGATTCATCACATGCAACACTATTTCTTTACAGTACTTTGATATCTGAAAGAACTTCTCCAGAAATATACTTCATGCAAAAACCTGAGATCCAATGATCAACTTCTATTTACCACCCCCAAGATCAATCTCAAATCCTTCGGCCAGAGATCATTGTCATTCTCTGCTCCTTCTCTCTGGAACTGTCTTCCTTTTGATATCAAAACCTCCCCATCTTTAGCTGTCTTCAAGTCCAAACTTACAACCCATCTCTTCTCCAAGTACTATCCTTGATACCTGCGCTTTGAGCAACCGCAACGGATGGAAAATAGCGCAATATAAATGCACTTATACTTATTATTATTATGTTTTACAGATTAAAGAGAGTATGTAGCAGAGAGGGTTCGGATTATTATTATTATTATTGAAAATGTGAATACTCCATATGGCCAAACATGGATGTATGTATATCCGTGTACACGCAATAGCGTATGTCCAGGATATTCTGAGTCTCCTGGTGGAAATGAGAGAAGAATGTCTCCCTGGACATATACTAAGAAGCAAAAGAAACGTCAGTTTGGAATTGTCCTTCACAGAAACGGATAACTGTAAACTCATGTAATGTTTTGTTGTATATTTTTCACAACATCTCCAACTTTACCTGAGCAAAGACATTCCTTCCCAAACTCAGAATGGAACCCAGGAAGTGGTCTCAAAAACGCAACCTGATCTCGGAGATGGTACGGTGTTCTCCATGTGCTTCATGCAACTCATGCTGCACGTGCTGTTCACAAGGACCAGCCCTATAAATGCACCCCCAAACCTGGTTGAAACATTCACATTACAGCGTCAGCAGGATGCCGCGACTCACAACAGCCCAGAGGAACCAAGAGCTAGGAAGACTTGAAGCTGGCAATACTGCACAAGCAGTTGCCAATCACTTCCAGGTCAAAGTTCGGACCATAACAGGCTGCAACAACGTGCCACAAATAATCGCCACCGTACTGACAGACCAAGGGTGACCACAAGAAGACAAGACAGCCATGTTGTGCGACAGCTTGTACAGAATCTCTTCATGCAGGCATCCGAAACAGCACGCCAGACAGTGGGAACACACGGAAGACCAATCGGTACAGCGTTACTCAGACCAATGTGTTATGGAAAGAGACTCATGGGGTGGTGCAAGCATCATGGTATGGGGTGGAATAGGCCTGAACGGGGTCCTGTGGTGTTCCAGAACCTTGGTCCAGGGAGAGGAGGCGGCATCACAGCGGTGCGCTACATCGACCAAGCTCTCAAACCCCACGTCATACCACATTTCGCACGTCACCGGAACAACATTTTCCAGCATGATAACGCCCGGGCCCATACTGCCACAGCTACACGGGACTTCCTACAGCAGAACGGTGTCAACATTATGCAGTGGCCAGCCCTTAGTCCTGATTTAAACCCAATTGAACATCTTTGGGATGAAATTAAGAGGAGACTGAATAATGTCATACCAAGGCCGAACACAGCCGATTTATTGCGCCAGGCCTTTCTCAGAGTGTGGTTCAAGGTGCCAATCATCAATCGATTGGTGCACTCCATGCATAGACGCAGTTCTGCAGTTATTGCCGCTCGAGGTGGACACACTAGATACTGAAGTCAAGAGTCTGAATGGACTGAAAACGTTCACGTAAAGTCTTGAAATTGTGCTGAGGTATTCAATGATGTGTCAAGATATTGCACACAAAAAATGTTTTTGATCTGCATTTA